TTCTTCTCCTTCTCCTTCTTCTTCTTTCTGTCATTGAGAGTTCATTTTTTTCCCTGCTATCATTCGTTTTTCCCCACACACACACCAAGCCCCGTGTCAACAGCAAGCAAGTTCACAAAACAGGAAAAACAACGGAAAGACGGATCTTTCCTGGTGCCTCTAGAGAGCATCTCAGGGTGGTCTTGCAGGATCCCAGCATTGCCATCTATGCCTGGGCCAAGATCAGAACGGTCCAGGAGTGTCACACAGAGTACATGGTATGCACTAGGCCGCCCTGAGCTGTCCCAGCGATGCCTGTTCTTGCCGACCACGTTTCACCAGACAAAATACCTCACCTGTATTGCCCATTTATACCCGGCCACCTATTCCTCCTTCACTCCATGCCCCTACAATTCACTGTTCCACACCACTCTTCTTTTACTCGTTCAATCTTCTGGGTCCATTTCGATTCCCCTCCATTTCACTCTCTGAAGTTTCTGATCAATCTCTACCACTACATCTACAATTCAACAATCCAATTTTCCTCCTCTGGCCCCAAGAACAGCATGCCTCTGGCATATTTCAATGCCACCCCTGTTAAGCAAAAGAACAAACCAGACTTTCATCTCCATCCCTGCCTCTCTCACATCTCAGCGGTCCTCACAACACACACCACAACACCTTGCTTCATCTTTAATTCTTCTTGTGCCCTGATTTACACAACTTAATGTACAAAAGTCATGTCATCATCTCCCCCCACACCATGTTTGACTGCATTGCTATGGATATGGCGGGAAGTCATGCCGAAGAAGGTGGGTAGACCCAAATCCAAAGACGAGGTGCTGAGACAACCCCTGTTTGGCAATCCGTGGGTGAGAGACGAAAGTGATCACCCACTATCCCTTAAGCCTAGAGGAAGGAGATGGCTATCATGGATCAAACATGGAGTTTGGAAAGTGATCCCTCTGTGGGACGAGGAGAAAAAGGACTGGTGACAGAACAGGATCTTGCCTCCCAGCTGAAAGGATGCCACCGACGAGACGAGAATCCACAATCCATTATCAACTGCATCCCAGAAGCCTAGAAGGAATTGTTGAGCGAAGCCTCAACCTGGAAATCTGGTGAATGGGGAGTGAGGGTGCAGGATTTAACTCCCTCAAGGGCCTACCAATTTTCCCATAAGCAGCAAGGGTCGGATACCCTGGCTGTGTTAACCTCTTTCCCAATTACCTCCTCAACGCAAGGCCTCCCATCTATCCTGAATAAGGAGGTGGAAAGAACAGTCCTAAACCCATTTGTGCTCAGAAAAGCAAGAGTGTTGGGATCGTGGTCAAAAACAATCTTCAGAATAGATACGGTGATTCAAGACTTGGAATTTGATCCAGCAGAGTGGGCTTGGACACCAGACAGAAGCAGAAGTCTCAAAACGAATGTCACCATCCAGGAATACACAGTCAAACTGGGATACAAGTTAATCCTCAAAACTAAGGATCCTGGCCCAACAATCAAAACAGATGGCAGAAATTTAATAGGTCAGGACGCTAGTCAGATCTCAGAAATACCATGGAAAAAATTCAAGCCAATCCGACCGGTCAAAATCAGAAGCCTCCAATGCCTCATTTCATATGTGACTCAACCGGTCAACCAGTGGCTGCATATCAGAAGAAGTAAGAATGACCCGAACAGTTCAGATTTATGCGTGGTATGTTTGGAAAATGAACCAGAAGATATGCTACGTTGCCTAATAGAGAGGCGACGGAATATTGGGCTGGGGCTCGGACCTCCGGGACTCCCTCTTCTAGAATCCCCTCCATGAACACCCCATCCAACTCCTCCTAGGACTAACATCCCAGCCCAATTCGACAAAACAGAGAAAACGTGGTTAGGAATGATCAGAAAGGTAACGCTGTGGTCCATCTGGCAGGAAAGGTGCTGCAGAACCATTGAGGGACTCTCAACTCCCAAGGGAAAAGGTATGGGCGGAGACAAGGACCTTGATTCAGGCAGAGATGCTTTGCAAGTGGCATAAGACGAGACACTCCATGCCAGATGACAAAGAGCAACAGAGGAGAATCAAGGCAAATTTTACTAAGGTGCGGCTCGCAAGGGGCAAAGTAGCAGAGATGAATGACTTTCACATACGGTGGAAAGACTGGCACAACTCAGAAGCGGGGTGGAGAAGGCAGAGATCCCAGCAAGCAGAAGTTCCATCACAGGCGTAACTTCTTTTACCTTTCTTGCTCTTTATGATTTCTTTGGCAGGTTCATGCAGTGGACCTGAGAGGAAAGGTTGAAACAAAGCAAACTGACAGTCAATCCTCCATGATGCTGCAGTAATCAGTGCTGGTCAGGGTTCCTTCGGCCAGACGGAAGGAAGCATGAGTGTGTTTCATTATGTAATATTTTATTCTAACCTGCCGGTGGAATAGGAACCGGACTGACGCTCCCCAGAATGGAAACGGAGCCAGGGCCATAAGGACCTGTTTTATGAAGGGGAAAAAAAAAAGAAAAGAAAAAAAAAGTCATGTCCTCATCTATCTGTGTGCCAGGTGAACCGTACGCAGAGAGGGAGAAGCAGACGAGAACAAAGGAGAAGGCTGTGGCCAACTGCTTTGTCGAAGTTTTACCAACTCATCAGGAGGTTGAACCCGGGTTCTGAACCCAGGTTCAGACTCGTGATAGGCGAAACTCTGACGAGACAGTCCGTCAGAGCCCCTCGTTTGTTGTCCTCTTTTCCCTCTTTGCCTACAGTTCAGGATTCAGCCCCCTGACGAGTCTGTGAAACTCCAACGAAACAGTCCGTCACAGCCCCTCATTTGTTGTCCTCTTCTCCTCTCTGCCTACGGTTCACCAGGCAGTTACATAACTTCTTCAAGTGAAAAGAGGGTCTTGTGTGACCCTGTCCCACGAGACCGGAAAATAAGTTGGGCCCATGTCCTTCGTTGTTTTTATGTTGTCGTTTTGGGTGAGGGCCGCATTGTTTTTTTAACTTTTTCCTTTTTGTCATTTTGGTCGAGGGTTTCTAGTTCTGTGCACTGAGCTGTATTCAAATTGAGGGACAAGACCTACTGAAGCACAAGCACACACCCAGCCGATGTGGCGGAATGGTACACCCATCAGACATGAGTTCACATCCTGACTGAACAGATAAGTAAAATAAGTCTGAAGTACCCGGGGGCTGTCAGTTCTATGATGATATCTCAAGGTCGTCGCCCTTTTGGAGAAAGAAAAGGAAAAGGAAAGACAAGTACACACCAGCCCCACACAAGTGAACAGTAGAAACTTAACTCTCAGTAAACAGGTCATGAGTTCGAATGTGATGAATGAGCTGAATACAATAGTCGAAGGGGCTACCTCCACTTTTTATTTAAAAAAAAGAAAAGAAGGAGCAAACCAGTATAAAGCAGGAAGGGCTCCCAAGTAAAAAAGCCTCAGCATAAAAGGTAGAACCACTGTTGCACGGTACCAACTGGCCTAGCTCAGTTGGTACACCACAGAAAGTTGAAATACGGACCAGAGTCCGAACTGCACTGAGAGCAGATGAGTAAAAAACTACAATTCTGAATTACCTATGGCCAGTCAGTTCGATGATAATATCTCAAGGTTGTCGCCCTATCAAAAAGAGAACCACTGTTGCACAGCTGGGGCGATCAGGGGAAACAGGGCTCCTTTATACCAATAGAAGTTATAGAACAGCATACAGCCAAAACTGGGAGAGCACTACAGCGTGCTCTCATCAAGAAACAATCACTGAGGGTAGCAAAAGAAAGATGGAATGCCCAGTCTCCAGGAACGCCTAATCAAGACAAGCTACTGAAACAAGCAACTACCTCTGAGGGAACAAACTCCAACATCTTCCGGACCAAAAGATTGCAGGCATCCTGTGGCTACAATCTCTTCTAGTTGCAATAATAGCAGTTGTCATACTTCAATCACAAAACTTGCAGTCAAGCACTCATCAGCTGACTCTGCGATGGCACAACTATACTTGCAGGAACCAGCATTGACAATCTTCTTGCCCTCCCCCCAACCCAACCACCCATTATCACTTGTAGGATTTTAGTGTTTTTCCCTGTGACTCACTTTCTGTTGAGCCGGTTGACAGTATCCCGCTCCCGCTCACAAGTTTGCTGATGGATGTCTTTCTCTGTGCGAAGCTTTTGCTCAAGTCTTTTGATCACCCTTTTGTAATGCTCCAAGGATCCACCATGCCCGTCAGCATATCTGCAAGAGGTCCATTCAATGGTGTCATGGTCAAATTGCACTTAGACAAGGACACAGGAATCCTGCAATCACATCGAAGAAAAGAAAACTAAAATAACTTGTACGATTGCCTCTCTCTCTCTCTCTCTCTCTCTCTCTCTCTCTCTCTCTCTCTCTCTCNCTCTCTCTCTCTCTCTCTCTCTCTCTCTCTCTCTCTCTCTCTCTCTCTCTCTCTCTCTCTCTCTCTCTCTCTCTCTCTCTCTCTCTCCACCTTGCACACAGAGTGCCATGCCACCCCCTCAGCACCCTCCCCTTAGATGCAAAGCCTCTTCGCCTGACACTCCCCCTCCTCAACTGCTCTAGCCTGGAAAGCATGCCCTGATCCCCCTTGACACTCCTCACCAATGTGAAGCATCCTGCCCCCCTCCCTTCCAAAAAAGACATTACTGCTTTTCCTTTACCACATGAGGCCAGCGCTCTTGTGCCCCCCCTCGCACTCCTCCCCTACTGTGTGCACAGCGGTTTTCAAGCAGTTTTCAATCCCCTCAACACCACCCAGCCCTCTTCCCTCATCTCCTCCTCTAAAGCGGAAAGCATCCATCTTCCCCACCCGAGCACCTTGCAACCCTCCTCAACGCCATCCAAATGCTTGCAAAGCGCCTTGCAAACCTCTCCTACAGTCTTGTGACTGTCCTCCTCTCCGCATGTAAACTCTCTTGCAACCCTTCTCAACGCCTCATTCAACTCTGATCCCACTTGCACACAAAGCATGATGCCGCCTTTCTCTGCAACACAGATCTCCTCCTCTCCTCTCTCCCCCCAGATGCATGCAAAGCCTCTTGCTACCGTCTTCCCCCGAACACAAAGCAGCCTGATTATGCATGCATACAAGCTATTTTCCCAGTCCCATACGGCCGTGATGAGGTCGCGTTAGGTTTGGGGGAACACGGGTAGCCCTCTCAGCAATCCACTTGCCCCGTCCAGACACTCTGCCTCACACCCCCTTTGCATGTACAGCGACCTCCCTTGACAATCTCCATCCCACCACCCCCTGTATGTAGACCATCTTGCCCACTCATTCAGCACTCTTCCCCGGCCTCTCCTAGTGTGGCAAAGCATCCTGTGACCCTCCAGTAGGAGAAGGACCAAAGCAAACTAGGTTTGGGACCCCCACATGCAACCCTGTTTGCCCAAAGGTAAGGCAGATACATGTATATATAGATATGCACTCTAAACGAGAAAGAGAGAACAGTCCTGGGCGCACTCTCTCATTCTTGGATGGCACTTCTTTCCCGTTTGGGGAGGAGGGGACTAGATGTTTGATCTTCAGTCAAAAGTCTTTTGCTTCTGCAATTATTCACGTGCTGACTTGAGCTTACTCACAATGTCTTTTTCCCCTAAATTTCACAAGTGCGAGGAATGAGCCCTCGTGGGGCCCTTATCAGACATGCACATGTTCTGGGCAGAGGCCCCCAGCAAGCCAAGTGCCCGCCTTAAGTGAAGGCGGGCCTGAATATTCACGAGAGCCCAAAATTCAACATTTTTCATATGTGGGTACTCAGGCCGTTACGGCCCGCTAGTTGGTTGAGTGGACGTGTGAGCCTCCCTAAGCTGCGTCGTACAGTTTGGCCCAGGCCGTGGCAGTTGCGCCTGGGCACATGCACAAAATGCAGGGCCGATACATCACCAAGTGGCTACAGGCCTACGCAGCTCTGTCGACGTACATACCCCAAGTCCTGTGCAAATGCAGGAAACGGCCCAAGTCTGTAGACTCAGGCCATGTCCAACTGTAAAGGGCCCAGGCCCTCAAATGTAGCACTGGGCCTGGGCGCAGGTACTGGGGCCCAACCGGAAGCTACTGGAAGCTTCCAGCCAGGCCACACGCAGCCAAGCAGAGGCTGCCACTTCCATATAGGAAGGAGGGCAGCCAGGGTCTGGCATTCTGGCCCACCCAGGCAATGTGGTCACGTTGCTGTGCTGCTGCGTTAGAGGCTGCATGCTGCGCTAGGGCCAGAGCGCGTGCGCGTGTGTGGTGAGGAGAGGGGCGCTGCCGGGCAGCGGAGCGCAAGCAGCCATATCCGGGCTGCAGGGCGCTAGGGGGTGAGAGGGCGATCGGTGGTCTTCAGGAAGGAGGCGAGTGTGGGTGGACAGGGTCTGATGAAGGGAGACGAGATACGTACCTGGTACATGAGAGAGGTCAGCTATGGTGTTGACGACATGTACATTGATTGGTCTTCGAGAGTTGAAGTGAGCCTGTTGCGAGAATGCTGACGTAGGTAGGATAGTCGAGTAGTGTAGGCTGGGCGCTGGGCGCCAGACAGAGAGGAGTGACTTTGGATACTGTGTTGGTGTGGCTTGAGGGCTTGAACATTGGCTCATAACTTCATTGTATTGCTCTTATTTGGATGGAATCTCGGTGCATTTGTGCTCTCTACTTGTACACGACTACTTGGACATCTGTGTGATTTCGCAACTTGGTTTTCTGTATATCGTTCCGACTCATATTCCTTGTAATTTGGTATCGGAGCTGGTTCGAGATCGCCGCTTACCTGGCGCTGGCGACATTGTTACTTGGTGCGCTGACGATGCTTCTGTGCAGTGAGGATACTTTGCCGCCGGCTTGATAGAGGGGCCAGCCGCTGGAAGGCTGTGGCGACAGCGTGGGAGCTGTGGCAACAGCGGATGTATGTATGATGATGAGAGCATGCTGATGTGGCATTTTGGCTGAGGTGGCACTGCATTGCGTCGTGGGTGGTACCAAAGCTATAACCGGTCATCGACATGCACATCGGCTCAATTGGTGAGAAATCTGTGGTTGGGGGCAGCTATCTCCAGGTACGTTGTTCCCTTACCCTCTCAATCTCTTCTTACCGTGAGGAAGCGAGTCCAACCTTGAGTGTCCTCTCTTTTGTGTGAGGAGTCATGAGCGCTCTACCTTGAGAAACGACATGCTTCCCGGTGGTGCATCTGGCAGGAGAGGGCGGTGCCTCTAAAGGGCCCTGGTCGAAGCAAGGGTCACGGTCACCATGCCAACCCATGGGAGTAGTACACGCAGGCCATGCTGCTTTGTCTTTTGAGGCTCTTTGCTGCGTTGATTGAAGGGGTGTGCGGATTGACCAGTCCTTTGCAGACGCTATCCAGACTGTCTATAAATATTTCTGGCGGGTGTCTGATCTGTCCACTGGCTGTGATCGTCGTCCTGATTGCGACGTTAAATAATTCCTGAGGACCATGGGGGCTGCCCTTAAACTGCCTCTTGAGCAGCCCGATCAGTCAGATGGAAGGCTCGTTGCATGCAAGGATAAACAACGGGCAGTTCTGGTCATAAGCATATGCCTTGGGCACAGGGGTGGGCTGCTAATGCACACCTTAGACACTGCCACTTGATGATGCCTACAGGCACGTTGGATACAGGGGAGGAAGATTCCAATTGAGACTCAACTGTCAGACACAACTATACCCATTGTGCATACATCTGCTTACTTTGAGGGTAGGGCGGCAGACAAAGCTTCTTTAGAGGGATTAGATGACTCAGCGCTGGACTATAACATGAAGACAGTCAAGGCGAGCATCCTGTCCATGCACGCACACCCTAAACCAGATCCTGAATACCATGCACCGGCCAGGAGTCAGGCCAGCAGTTTTGCCATTGCTGCCATTCTTAGCGGTGACAGGCCCGTATCCGCCTCAGTCTGGTACCACACCACGTGGTACATCAGCAGCAGCAGCACATATTGCAGCTTCTTCATCTTCTGGTCCAGCGGTTGGAGCTACACCACAGTCGCCGCCTGTCCCACCAGTGGGACAGCAACAGCCTTGGTACCCAGAGACCCCATTGAAACCACCTCCAACCTTCTCGGGAGATAAGAAGGATGAGGCTCTCGACACTTGGTTGAAAACAGTGTCAGTGTGGGTGAGGGCAAAGAGGACGTTGGTAGAAGAGGAAGTGATAATTGTTGCATCCTATTTGGAGGGATCGTCAACTCGCTGGTTAAATGGATTGGTTGCCTCAAAGGGGTTTGGCAGGAACATGGGTGATTGGGCTCAGACCCACACCCTAGAGAGCTTTATGGATTTGGTGGAAGCGCGATGGCACAACCCACAGCATGCACAGATTGTCATTGATGGGTTGCTGAAACTTGATGCTAGAAAGTACAAGTCCGTGCACGAGCTCACCTCTGTTGTAGAGCGACTGATTGTCGTCCCTGGGGTACAATATAAACCGCAGGTCTTGTTGACCACGTTCTTAAAGTGTCTTCCCACAGACATCAAGAACTTACTAGCCAGCGAGGCTCGGCTAGAGTATCACACGTTTGAGACCTTCAGCAAAAAGGCCTTAGATTTAGAGGCTACGCTAGGAGGTGCTTAAACACCCTCTACGGACGGAAGAAAGAAGAAGAGTCCACAAGAATGGAAGAATAAGGGGAGTCGGTTGATGATTTGAGGCAGATGGCACTCAGACCGAGATCGAGGATTTCTCCGACCTTGTAGTAAAAGGAAAATGCAGGTGGTCACGGCAAGGGCGATCAACAACGGAGGAGTCAGGGGCAAACCCCCAACCCGAACAAGATAGCGGCTCGGGTTCGAGCGGGTTTGGATCAAGAGGTGTGGCGGGACCGTAATTCGCGGGGTGCTTGCATCAACTGCGACGAGTATGGTCATAAGCAGTTCAAATGCAAGAACGTGAAGGTACCGCAGAAGATACCACCTAAGGGTGGGATTCCCTTCTCCCAAGGCAGGGACTCTACGAGCTCTAGCTCGGGAAACGCCTAGGGCCAGTAAAAGTTGTAGCTGTTTCTACTCTCGTTGAAGCGGGTGATGTACCCTCCCCGTTTCAAGAGTTGGCCGAAGCTATTGACTCAGTCACCCCGCCGACGTATCCTGACCCAACAATACTCTGCTCGTTGGATGTGTCTGAGGTCTTAGAGGACCTACAAAGTGAGTGGTCGACAAGGGACCCTAGTGAGTCCTGGGTGGCACTAAGTCAAGGTCCTAGAGCACTTCGTTGTGCAAGTTGGTGT